GTAACCTTCTACTGTGGGAGGGTTGAGAAAATAAGTAGGAACAGGTGAGGGGAAAGGTGTGTTTCAAAAAGGGGTAGGACTTGGATTTCAAGTGTGTGTTTCAGTTATCAGTTGTAGCAGTCTAACTCTATTGCTCTATTATCTGCTAATTTGACCACCTATTATCTGCTAATTCTATAGTGTTTCTAATAACAGGATTTTCAGGAAGATACAAATATCAATCTCTGGCAGTCCCTGATTCAGATGTGTGTTTTGAAGTGTGGTTAAAAATTTTACTGCAGAAGTGACAAAACATAAGCTTAGCTAGATCATATGATTTATCTTATAATAAACTTGTGAAGAAAACTAATTCTTATTCTTCCTTTCTACATTCAGAGCAAAAGTCAATGGGATGATCAGATTTTTGTCAAAGGATGTATTCATGCACTTGAAGCTTGGTTACCCCGAAATATCTACATTGTTGCAGGTGTCTTCATAGCTATCTCACTGCTCCAGGTTAGTTGTCATTTTGATTATTTGAAAAATATTCCATGTTTGCAGATAAAAACCTGCTGAAGGTAAAAGTGGTTATGGACAGAGGTAAAATAAATATTTTGAATGTGGCTTGTCTAGGTATGATAAGAGGATGGCAGGAACACCAAGTATAGTAAAGGGGAGTTAGTGTGAAAATACCTGTTGCAGAAAGCAATGAGAGTCATTCTAAAAGTATACTGCAGTAATAATAGTGTGTGATAATTAGTATATATATTGTAATATTAATATAGTCATATAAACTATATAATTATCATCTAGAATATTCCTTGTGTTTCTGTGCCATTGAGGGGGGATCTGCTGTCTGCTCCAGTAGATCTGAGCTCCAGCCTTCTATCCCAAACTGAAATGACTAAGGTAAAACCTTGTCCTTCATGCTGAGGTTGCCTCAGCCAGCTGTTTGTATCATAGCATGCTGCTCAAAAAGGTTGGGAACGTAAGAGCAGGGAAATAGGTGAACAGGTTGCAAATGTGATCTTGGCAGAATCAGATGGAAGATGCTGGCTTCTATTGCCTTATCAGTGCCTGATTCATCAAAGAGAGAGCTGAAATTCTCAATAAATCATATTAGATTGCTGTTTTCAATGTGGATCCTGCTTTCATTGTGGCAGTTCTTTGCACTGTGTTAATTTCTATGGTGTGAAATTCCTTCACTTCAGTGGGAAATAATAAACTTGTAAATCTGCTACAGAAAGTATTTTCAGTGTAATTGACAATAGTTGAGTATTGAGTGCTAGCAAAAGACCTTTATTCAGCCCTGGTAATACTGTCTTCTGTAGCTTAGGGTTTGATACACTTTTATCACCATCTGGTGATGATGCTTCCATGGGTTTGAGAAATGCTGTGCTAAGAACAGCACCTCTTGCTAGGAAGATGGTCAAGACACAAAGTTTAATCTTCTGGCAGTGTGTTGATTGACAATAAGTCGACAATGTTGTTCTTTATTCATGTCCCAAGGCTTTGTGAAACCTCTTTGTTCTTTGTATTTTCCAATTGGGTCTTTCTTGTGCATTAAGCTATTTCACAGTGAGACTGAGATGTGACCTGACTACATTTAAATGAAATCTTTTAGCTTTCCAAAACTTCACCCCAGTTTTATGTTATTTCTAAGAATGTTTCAGGAAATTTGCTGAGTTACAAATTTATCCTCAATTTTTAAAGGAATATTTCCCTGAGAACTTACATGAATATTAAAATTTCAAATGTCTCTGAATAATCTGGGACTGACAAACTGTTGTCTGTGACAAGAATTTCACTTTAGTACAGATAATTGTACATTCTGTCTGTGTTTAAAAAATTGATCTGAAAACTGGATGGGCTGTTATTCAAAGTTGTGCAATGAATGCAAGTGTCTGCTTTGTAGCAATAGGTAAGCATGGGTGTTTATGACACTCAAACTTGGGTAAGTGGATTTCTTCTAGCTCTAAGGCATCTGGAAGCTTATTATTTTGAATGCTGTGGAAGTTTTACATGAAAGCATCTTTCTCATGAGTTTTATTACCTGCAGGATTCTGTTGCCTTTATTACTTTTTAGTAATAGCTATGCTTTGATGGATGATCCTGGCTATGAAATGATATCTGAGCCTGCCACCAAGCATCTTGCAGACTGGTGCATTACAAGTGTTTTATCTCACAAATGGTATGTTTTTTATCTTTTTAGATTTTTGGGATTTTCCTTGCCAGGACATTGATTTCTGATATTGAAGCTGTAAAGGCAAGTAATGCCTTCTGAATATGAAAGCAGATGCATGTTGCAAGACAATGTATGTTAAGATTATTGATTGGACACCAAGGTGGAAGAAATCCACGGGCCATGAAATACTTCTGTTGTTAAAAGCCTTATATGGGTATTTTTTTCCCTGCTCATGCTTTTTGTTAGAAGCTGTTACAAAAAAAAAAAAAAATCGCCAAACACATATACTGTCTACCTTTTTTCTAACAAGACAACTTGGTGCACCAGCGTTGATCTCTGAGGAAGAAATGGAATTTCCCAAGACATCGGCAGAACAGATTTTAAAGACTGTAGCAGGGAGACATGAAACTGCTGTAAACACTTTCCTTGAAGGAATGCTATGAAAATTGTTCTGTCTTCACTCCTCTCTTCTGTCTTAAAATGTAATCTTTTCAAATGTTGCATGCTGATTTCTTTAGAACCTTGCAATCGTATTAATCTCTACAGTAATTTTTGGATACATATCCAGCAACCATAATTGGAAATTGTGGGGGGAGGAATAAATCACAAACTCTCTAGATCTTGAATTGATTTTAGGCTGTGCAAACCCCATGCTGTTTTGAAAAATGCAAGCTGGTTCCCAGAATGGGATAAATCTGAGTATCTGTAGCATTAAGTCTTACAAATCTCCATTTCAGGCAAGAGGGTGTAAAGCCCTGATGCTTCCTGTCTGAGAAAAATGTAAATATTCTTTTTTTATAGAAGAAAAACCTCTTTAAAAATGCTTATCCTTTCAATGATCAGTAATACCTTTACAAAGTGCTGTCTGCATACACTTCAGAATGCAGCTTGTTTTCAGTAGGTAGCAAGCGTGCTGGGCTAGCTGTTGATGGCTTTTGTTATTCCTCTAGTTTCTCTCAACTGCTATGTTGATTTTCACAAGTCTGAACTGCCACTACCAGGACTGATGAAAGACTTACAAATTCAGTGTTAATCCTTATTGGAAAATGTTTTTAAATAAGGAAGCACAGATTTAGCAAAAGATTAAAGTTGTTGAACTTTAAAATCTTGTATAAAGCAATTGAGCCATCAGTTCTGCCTGGTTCATGGTTCAAATGTGAATCAAAATACAGTGAACCTGAATGATTTCTTCAGTCATTTTCTACATGAAACTGAACTAGTCCTTCTTATGGCAGGGTTTTTATTTTAATAAAGAGAAAAGTAAATTCTTCTTTCAGTCCTCCCTTTGCGGGGGGAGGGTTAGTAGATGGATCTGTAGTTCAGTAGGAGTTCCAGTCTCTTCTGTAAGACTTTGGTGTTGTATCCTTAGCTGTAAGGTAAAAGTATACGGCTGAAAAGTTCTTGGAAGTAGATGTAGCTGTCAGTTTTACTGTGGGCCATAATTAACTGCTTCCAGTGACACCAGGTTTTTCAGGGAGAGCAGGTTCATTTACAGTGCCTAACAGTGTAAATTTTAGTATCTATTTTTATAATGATATTTTACTATCTGTAGTGTGCCTGAAGGATTTAATACTTGTATTTCTAAAGTATATGGCTTTTCTTGGAAGCCAAACTTTTAAATATATTATGTCCTTTTTTTCTGTTATGCATGTATTAACAAACATTTCACTGGCAAAAGTTTATCAACAGTTAGAATCCTTGTGTCTGGTTGATTGTCCAGACATCCTTCTAGCTTGTGATCTGTGAAGCACTTCAGACAGTGCTCAACTAGTTCAGCCTTCATATAGTTCTTTTTCTGGCCAGTGATTGAGACATAACAGGAAAAGGAAGCTTGTCTAAGGATGGCTGATTTCCTTACAGTAGCAGAGAATAGTCTGCTATAAACTCATCTGCAAACCTGAAAGTAAAATGGCTAGAAGTACACCGTGGCTTTTTCAGATTTGGTGTACAAAGAAAGCAACAGCAGTAGATCACTGAGGGGAGAGCAAGAGGCATTTCTTCTGTAAAGCTGTGAATTTGAGGTCTGTATTACTAATTTGTTGAATCTGATCCACAAGGAGCAGCCAGAGATGTGTGATTGTACTACAGCTTGGCAAGCAGCAGAGCAGTGGCCAGCAAACTTTGCTTGAAATTCAGGTGCTTGAAACTTTGCAACACCTTGTCAACCACCTTACTTGGTTAAGGTTATCTGTGATAATCTGATATATGTAAAATTGGAGAAGGATGCTTCCTATTTGGAACTCCTTAGTCATAAAACATTGCATTGAAAATGCCAGGTAGGGACTACGTTTCCCTTTGTCAGTTTTTGACACAGCCAGCTCCTAATGCTGGGAAGGAATTCCAGCAGTTTGGTGAAAATCATTCTGGTGTCAAAGATGGCTGTGGAGTTCATGTACTGAAATTAGCTGCTTACAAGAGCCACCATTACAGATTAGAATTCCATGGTCTGTGAATCTTGCCAGGTTACCTGAAGACAAATTAATACTTGTGGGTTTGTTTTTTTTAAGTGCTGTTTGTATGCAAGCCAGAATTTAACTGAAGTATTGTATTTCTACAGTTTGTTCTTAATGGCTTTGGCCATATCAACACCAGCCTTTGTACGAGTGTTTCAGTTATTTGGAACTGAATTTGAGAGAAGCTCAACCTATTTGAGGATCTTTAAATTCATGAAGTGATTTTTCATTTTTGCCACTGTGGATCAAACTTCTCTCTGCTTATTCATTATCATTTTTAAAATTTGGGGGCTCTAGGTTGTTTTGCCCCTGTTCTGAAGTACATGCATACACGGTTAGTGTAATTTCTGACTTGTAATGGGAATACTTTCTACTTAGTTTTATTTAGCACCTTCTCTGTGGACCTGCAGTGGCTTCATGGCTAAAGATTTAGGTTATGGTCTAAAAAAAGTCTTATCAGCAAAAGCAGCTGGGTGTGAGCCTGCCTCTAAAGCCTCAAAGGAAAAGTAATTCAGTGATCTCACAGAGAGGTTTGATACACTGTTGATGTTGAGATTTCAGAGGTTGCATCTGCAACAGCTTCACAAACACTACAGTGGAACCAAGGTTTTTCATGAAGATGTCAAATGAGGTCAGACTTGAAGAACTGGACTGAGAGAAGCAAACTTCAGTGTGGTCGCTTTTATTCCTCAGAAATGAGCACAGTTTATTTCCGTTAAGCAATGTATGTATTTGTCAGTCTGACAGTTCAACTGCCTCTGTTTTTATTAATAAAACTGCATTTGAACACTGTTTCCCTGTACATGAGGAGGAGGATGAATATAAGCACTGAAAAAAGTGCAGTGACCAAAGGACCTCGGGTTGCCCTGTTGTACCTGAATGTTTCTTCCTAAGAGGTCTTTAGCTTTGGTGACCTCATTCAGTGCCATGTGGACAGACTCGTGCTTCCAGTCCATGGAGCTCAATGTGGCCATTGATTTATGTGTAGAATTGCCTTGGGTTTTGTCTCCCCCTTTCCATCCTTCCTTCTTTCTTCCCCATACTTCCTGTGCATTGTCATGCAGCTTGAACATTGTTCAGCCACTGGAAGGGGAGCTCCTGTCTCCTATTCTGAGATGGTCTTTCTGAGTGACTTTCAATATATTTTTTTCTCAAGCCTTAAATTTGATTAAATAAAATTTAACGTTTTCTACTCCTGGAGTTTGATTCCTGATATTTGTTGCTTCCAGTCATTAATATTTCGCGCTCGAAGGTTTAGACTGGCTACTGAGACTGCAGTTTGTGGACAGCTCAGAAATGATGAAGGTCCAGGGGTGCTTGTTTTTGTATTTTGCTGAAACTAATTCTTGATAATTTTTCTTTACAGTTTGGGCTGTTGAATAATAGATAAGACTGATGCTTTTCTTTGTATTGTTAATGGTAAGCCATGAACAAGTGAAGAGCTGCAGAATGGTGTAGAGTAACTATTAAAACTCTGGACCCCAAAAAAAAAGTTAAAAGTGCTGTTTTTCTTTTCTCCTATTATGTGGTAAAACTTGTGTGTTACTCAACAAGTGACAGTTCTCTGGGGTGGTTTTATGAAGTTTCTTTCTCAAGCCTACTCCTAAGAATGATATTTGATGATGAGAGTGGTAGGCTAAGTAGTGTTACTGGGTTTTGCAAGTGGGAAAGCTTTTGCAGGAACAAAGTTGTCATGTTTGTTTGCAGACATAAGCCAGTTGTTCTCAAATTGAGAACATGAGGCCTTGTTGACTTCTAAATACAGACTTCTTTATAATGGGTTTCTGAAGATCGGTGCTTGTTTATTTTTTTCTCAATAGCTTTTGTGCTGGCTAAAAAAAAAAAGTAATTGCTCCCAAGCATTTCAGTCTCTACCACTTCATGTTTTTGAATTTGATCTCCTAGGCCTGGAAAACATGACTGCAACATACCTTCAACTGCTTCAAAAAGTTCCCATAGGACCAAGTTGTGGAATAGAATCTATTACCTTCCCATCAAGTGACCTTTTTAAATACAAAAGGATTCCACAGGAATGTTCAGGGACGTTTGTTTTACTATATTATTTTTCCATTATCTAAAGTTAAACCCAGGTTCTCTCATGGGTGATAATGGAATGCTGGCTGCCTCTACATCCTTACCCCTGCTCACTTGTAATTTCTGACTTGTGTCAGAAATTTTCTGACTAGTTTTATTTCTGTGTCTCGTCCAAGCACTGTGTGTTCACTGTCTGTGGTTTCTTGTAAACTTTGCTTCTGCAGTGTCTCATTCCAGTAGGTGCAACTCTGAAATCAGGACAAGACTGTAGCCTCACATATTTGAGAATATAACTTGTGACAGAAGCAGGTACAGCTTCAGAGACAAGCTCTAAAATTGGAGATTGAAGGGGGAGTTATCTTCAAGATAGTTTTGGTTTTAACATGTTCACCTAACAGTTGGGTGCACAGTGTGATCCAGTGTGCAGATGTTGAGTTGGTGCCAGTTAGCCCTTTGAATTGTTTAAGCTACAGCTTTAATCTAGCTCATGTTTCAGGTTGTGTGATAAAAGCTTAAGACTTTTGTATAATTATTTAAAAGTCCCATTGATACAAGAAAAATTGCAAGTGTGTATCCTAATCTCACAAAACGGAGCAGCTGAAAAATGTGTCATGAGTGGTAATTGCCTGATGTTTCTCCTGTGATGTTTCTTAACACCATTTGCTTGACGGGCCTTTTTCCTGCTGCTGTGTGTTAGTGGTTCAGTGAAGAGCAGCAGTGGTGCAAGTATCAGGCCAAGGAGGTGTGCTAATGAGGGGTTTTTTATACACAGCTTTCAAAGCAGGAGCTGCATCTGGGCTTCAGCAGTGTTGCTTGTGCAGCAGCATGACAAATGCAAGGGTTGCAGAGCTGGTGGTGTCTGCCTCAGCAGCAGTGCTGGTTTGGCACATGGGAGAAGGGAGCTTAGTGGGGTGTCTCTCCTCTCAAAACCTGTAATGTTGTGATGGCTTCCTGGACCACACTGGCATTGCTGTGACTGCAGAGACGCTCAAGAGTGTCCTTGATATTGTCCTCTTCTATCTCTTGTCTCAGATCACCTGAATGGGAGATGAAATGATGGCTTTTAGTTACCTGTCATGGCATAGTGGCTTGCAATAATTGTAAGATAAAAGTTTGGAGTACTTGCTGTTCATAATTAGGTGCTTCAATTAAAATATTTTTTTCAATAGATACCCTTTCAGCCATTGGAAGTATTAAGGACAGATTAAGGCTTTTTCCTTCTGCTTGACAGAAATAAAGCAAATTTTGAAATTCTAACATGGGACAGTTTCTAGCACTTTTTTGCCTGAATGCTTTTTGCTACCGTTCCATATTAGTAAGAGTCAACTCTTAGCCTTACTGTTGTTAGTCTGTAAAATGCTAAGTATATACATCTCTGGAAAAAATCTTACAGATTGTATCTGTTATGTCAGTACTTCACAGCAGCACTGAAAGCTGCAAGTTCTTTATCCCTATTCCAATATCCCTATTCCTTTAGCCACACATATGTGGCTACAGGGATAAAACAGAGTATACTGCAAAACCCAGCTTGTCTGTCAATACAAGGTGGTTCCATGATTTGAAAGGCAGCTCACCTTGTGATCCATCCTTGCCTAAGTACAATTGTTCTTTCCAATTTATGTAACTTTTGTGTTAAGATGTGAGAAACTGCCAAGACATCTTTGGACTCCTGGTTTCAAGGTGCTCATTTTCATTTTGTGCTACACATCTAGGATAGTGCCATCCTGCTTGAAGCATTTGAAGTCTTCCATGACCATGGAGTGAAACTGAAATCATGCCCTTCACATGCTGTACTGACAGTCACTGTGTGAAGGCAGCATTGCTAAAATGACTGCTTTATCTCAGCTGTGAGTTTGCTCACAGCACAGGCAGAACAAATGTATGCCTGCCTATGAGCATGGTACAGACTGTTCCTTTGGACACAAAAATGCTCTGGGACTGCCAGGCATATGTGCATGGTGAAGTTGGACAAAGATGTCTTTACTCCAGGACTCCAATTTTGCTATTTTGGGACTTGGTTATGCCACTGACTCACTGGAATAAGGCCTTCTTCTCTTTTTTATTTTACTGATGGTTTAATCAGCTTTTCATAGAGAAGGAAACAACTGATTTTTGGTGATCAATACAGAATGAACCTCTAATATCCTTTACTCATTCACTAGAACATTGCAAGCAGCATATTTTGGTAACAGAAACCACTTGTCTTCATCACAAATACTCATCCTTCCATCACAGACAACTTAAAATGAAGTTACCTGAATTAAGAAGCCTGCACAAAAGGCCCATTGAATTGTATTTCACCTCAGGACTTGTGTTATCATCTCGCAGAAGTTTGTGTAAGCTTTGAACTAGCTGTGATTCTTTAAAAGATTCTTCAAGGGTTTCTGGAAAACAAGCAAACAAATAGTAACCCTGAGCTGTTACCTGAAAAGAAATTATAAAGTGAATATGCTTGCTTTTTAAAAAGAAATTCTGGACTGGCTTCATTTCAAGTTGGCTATTCAGGGATGTCTTGGGCATCTGTCTTCTGCACTGAAGAATTTCTGTGCTCTTTTCTCTACAGAATTTCTTTACTGGCTTTATTCATGAAGACAGGACCAATCTGCTATTGACTGTATATAGTTAACCTTATAGTAAATTGAAACCTGCAATGTTCAGTGCTAGAAATGTTGATTCTCATTAGCTGCCCAGATGAGTTTGAGAGTTTTAATGGTAGACAAGCAGTAAAATGGGCTTTTCAGTCCTACTTGTTGGTATAGGACATTACAGATTTCAAGTTAATTTTTCTTTTCAATTTACTTTTTGGTGTACCACCCTGTAGATTTGTGGTGTCTCTTTATTGTAATAAACTGAGAGCCATTTTCGAGTTATACAGGAAAAATCTGAAAAAAACTTGTACCTAACTGAAAATTAGCTCAGGAAAATTAGTCTGAATCTTTACAGTTTTCTCGCTTCATTTGCAGCTTCTACAATGCCTTTTTATTTATGCTTCTGCTTTATTCTTTTCTCATGTCTGTCTGAGGATTATTTCTGCTACTTTTAGTCTTCAATGACCATTTGAGTATATAATTTGTCCTTCATTTAACCTTTATTATCTTTTTTTTATCTCCATCACCTTCACTTTCCCTCTTTTTTTTTGTATAGATTTCTAGCATCATAGTATGCTGCTCAAATAGTGCCTGTCCACAGCATGATAATTTGACTCTATCCTAAATTAAAAAAAAATAAAACTTCAGGCCATTCCCAAAGCTTATTGATTTTATGATTTGAATGGTGACAACCTTTATTTCATGCTGGAGAGTTAAATCTAGACAAGAAACGTGCTTTTTTTGTACACATTACCTAGAATTAACAGCATGACAATGTTTCTTAATCACTGAGGATCTTGCACAAATAAGTTCTTTCAGAAGGCAAATACCTAAATCGATGGCAGATGCTATTGCCAGGGCATTCAGAGCCTCATTCTGCATGGCAGCATGTTCACTTGTTGTCATGGAAATGAGATGCTTCACTCCTTGTGCTGCCTGGATGGCTTTGACCACTTCCTGTGAAAGCAAAGGTAGAACAGATGGAAATCTGATGTATGAATACAGCAGAATGAAGAGAGAAATGAGATTGCACTCTTCAGCTTCTGAATAGAGAGAAATTGTTTGTCTGGTGCAGTGCAAACTGCCAGTATTCAAAGACTAGAGATAACATTGCTTTTGGCACAGATCATAATTGTCTGCTTAGGGCTGGTCTAATATAGGTGGAATATCAATACTTAGAATTTATAGATGCATATCTGTAAGATAAATACATGTTTTGTGTTGCATCATTTGTCCTTACTCCACTCCTTCATTTCAGGCCATCAAACTAGCAAGGATTAGTTTTGCTTTTATCAAAGCCTGTGCATAGAGTACCTACTTTTTTAGTCACTACTTCATAGTAGAGCATGACTGGGATGCCTATGTGTAATAGCACAATTTAGAAAAACCAGAAACCTGTTAAAAAATGCCAGCACATAAAGATCATGCCAGATTCATCCATCATGGATAAGTGGGCTCTTTGGAGCTTCCAGAGGACTGACAATTAGGACAGCTCTGCGTTATTTTTACCATTTTAATTTGACATTTGAAACATAATTACCATTTTAATTTGAAACATACCATTTTAATTTAATTTGAAACATCCTTGTGGCCCTAGAAAAGCTTTACCTGCTTACCATTTGTCAAGCCTTACTCAAGCAGGGTCAGTGTTGACAAGTGACAGTAAGAGACCACTGGTGCTTCGTTTCTGTGAGGCGTCTGTGCTTATGGAGTGCACAGGTTTCCCCCTTTCTGGTACTGAGGCAGAGCACAGGGGTTTTCATTGCAAAGCTGGACTTGCTGTTTAATCCCTAGCTCTGTCTACAGGCTTTAGAAACGTTTGAGAAGGGTGAGGTGGAAATCAATCAGCGGTTCTCGTACCTGGGATCTGTTGTGGTGCAGGATGGATGCCAGCAGCCGGTTTGCCTCTCCGCAGATGCCACTGTGGTCGCTCACACTGCACCACTGCACCAGCCTGTTGAGCAGCAGGGGGTCTTGGCCCAGGATTTCAGCTGCATCAGCTGAAGAGACAAGCATCACCAAAAGGCATTCAAAATCAGACCCCTCAGTCTGTCACAGGAATGTGAGCGTAGAGGTAACTGGGGCTGTGGTCCTGTGCTCTGCTCAGCAACCTTCAAGAACTCTAATTGAAGCATTTAGCTTTTAAAAGATCTTGGAAGTATTTACCAAAGGAATCAGTCAGGGGAAGGACAAAATGTGCTGCTCCAGTAGACCTATCCCTTTAAAGGGGCTGCTGAAGTAGGGCTTAAAATAAGCGACTTTCTGTCTTTGAAAACAAATATTCTGTTGCAATACTTCAGGAGGCCTGTCCCTTTCCCACTTGGCTTTTGGTGCTTGGCCTTTGAGCCCTGCAGAAATGTGCCCATGGGCTCTTGGGAGCCTGTTTGTGCTCTTTTGGTGAGAATTCATTACTGTTGGTAGTGTGGGAAGCCAGGCCTTAGTACAGAATGGCAGTGTGTCAGTAATTGGATGACCTGAGTCTTAGGAATGTGTGTTGAACTATGAATAAGGCATTATCAGAAATTCCCCTTAGTGTGGAAGAGCCTTTTAATTTGCATTCCTCTGTGTTTCGGGAACCCTGTCTCAAGACTTGCTAGAAATATTGGTGTCTGTGGTTGACATTTAAAAAAGACCTCACTAGGTAACTTTTCCTAGCAAGTGGAACTCTAATTATGTTAACATCTCTAACAGAAGGATAGGTTTGATAGAGGCATCACCCTGCTCCTGTTCCTTTACCTGTCCCTTACTCTGTGCGTTGCATTTCTTTTGAGAGATGCTGGAAGAATCAGATGGAGCATGCACCAGAAGGTCAGTGTCAATAAACCACATGATTGCTCTGGGTATTTTCCAGAAGATGTAAGTCTTGTTTTGGGGGAGGGAGATGGGGAAGTACACACACTTGTTTTTTAATTTGTCCAGCATGCTAAGGAACAATCCACAGGTCAGAAGTCCACAGGGAATCTGGAAGCTTATAGCCTAGCTGATAAACTTTGTTTTGGGGTAAGAGTTACTGGGCATTGCACAGCTACCTGTATGTTATCTCCTGCAACACCTGTCAGGAGTTCCTTGTTAGTCTGCAGAGAGTAATCCAGTTTAGCACAGAAAGCTGAAATAAGAGGCTGGAGGGTGGAACCAGTTTAAGAGATTTGTTGTCAAGGCAGGTTCTTTACTCAGTTTGACATCTCTTGGAGCTAAAATTCAGTTAGTTATTCTTAGCACAAAGACCTTTTAACTTACAGTTTATTCAAATTTGTCATTTTACAAGACTGAACTTTCAGTTGTGCTGGAAGTCCTTTGGCTACTGAAGTGCACAAGTTATTCTGCTCCTCTGGAGCCAAATGGTGGAAGAACCAGGAGTTACCTTCTCTTTAGAGTTAGGAAGCTGACAGGTCTGCCTGCAGTTTTCTCTGGTTAGTAGGAAACCTGCCTCTTCTGCTCTGCAAGCCTCAGCATGCCTGCTGATAGTCAGAGTAATGAATTTATACTAGATAAGGCAATTAACTAATTTTGTGTGGACTTCTTAGGAGATGTGTGTTCATAAGAGTTTCAGGCTGAGTTAATTGAGGGCGATGTTAGCTCCTGGGTAAACAGAATAGAAGGTAATTAAAAGTGGGAGAATTGTGTGTTCATAGTTGGGAATGGATAAACATTGAGTCTCCTACATATTTTATTCTACTTTACATTTTGATAATTATGTTGTTTCATAAGAATTCAGAAATTGTACCTTGTGCCAAATTTCAACTTGGTATTAGGGCTGGTAAATAAAATTAAAAAAAGATAACTTGGTGTTTGATAGTTTAGATCTATGTTACTGTGATGTCTCAATTTTACATGTGAAATGCCCTGTCACAATTGAGATATAACTTTGAAGAAATTACCTTGCAATGACTTCTTCAAAGCCTCAGAACAAGAAGATGCTAGGTTTCTATGTATCTTGCAATGTTCATTTCCTACCATGGTGAAATGTAAGTGAAAGGAGCTTCTCACTGGACTGGAAATAGTACAAATTAATATAAGGACTAGATCTAAGTTTTCTATCATGCATGTTAATTTGATAAAAGATGCAAATAGTTCTCGTATTAAGTTATGTCTGTGGTATGTCATGGAGTGCAGCATGGAATGTAGCAGGGTGATGTTTATCCTCCTCTATGTAACTAATGAAGTGATGTCTGTAATTGTCCTATGTCAGTTATCACTTCCCATCACAAAATGGTCATAACTGTTATGGTTTTAGCTTCTGTTATTCCTGCATGTCAAGGAATCACTATTGATTAGTGCTCTAGAGTAGCTCCTCTGGCAATGTGAAAGTACCAAACCACACGACACTTGTTTTTGTGTACAGTCTGGTAAGAGCTAAGCCTAAGGATAAAGTAAGATACTGAAGTATATCTTAATGTAATTCCAACATTGTGCATGTTTCTCAAAATGCAATGATGACAGAAAGATTATTGTTGCTTTTGCATATCCCCCCTCTGTTAAACTGAATGAAGTGCAAGTAGATAATCCGATACATTAACATGCAAAGTAAATTCAGCGTTTGAGCCACATGAGCAAGATAAAACTTCAACATGTATAGAAAGACTGGTAGAAATTAATTTCTCTTGCCTTGCTCCACCCCAGCTCCCTTTATTCCTTTTATGTTCTCTAGTTCTTTATTGATTTGCTGTCCTGTGATTTGACACTAAAACCTGGCTCTTTTTCACCACACTCATGCCTTGCTGCTGTATCTCTGGTGAAAAATATCTTTTTAGGCTTTTGCCCATTCTCACCGACTGCTGTGGATTTGTTCCATGTGGTTTGTTGCTCAGCTACCTCTGAGGCTGGCTGGGGCAGGCTGGAAAGCGTGCAGCCTCTGGCAATCATCTCTGCTGGAAGCTCTCCAGACTGAGTGGAATTGGGTTAGCAGGACACTCAGCCCAAGACGTTGTTTTGCAGGGTGAGGGAGGAGGGGAGTTCACAGCCGATCTCAGTGAGCATTGCCTACCTTGACCATCTGCTAACATCCGTAATGTTCCGAGGAGTTTAAACTGCACAGGGGGACTCTCTGACCAAAGGAGCGCCTCGATCCGCTCTGCAACGCCTTCCTCCAGCATCTGAACCTTGCTGACCACTAGAAAATGGAAAAGAGATGTTGACACGAGGCTCAGTAACGGCACAAACATCTGAAAATGTAGACAGGACTGTTGTGAGTTGTGTGCTGTGTTAGGCTTCTAGTGAAAAGCCCAACTTGTTAGAGAGCTCAGAAATTAAGTCACGTTTAGATTGTTTAGACTTCTCTTTTGGGCTAAAGCTTTCATAGGAACTGCTCTTGGGTGGTTTTGGTTAATTTTGATCTTAGCCATCCCCAGAACAAAGTACATAAAACACAGCATTGTTGTTTCTCTTCCTTTTTCTAGTTGTAATAGATTATCCATCCACTTGCACAGTCACATGTTCTGTGCTAGCTCATCTTAACTGGGGAGCAGAAGTGATTTACTCAGCCATATTTCTTGAAAATTGATTTTTTTATTTGAGCTCACTGATCCCCTGTTATTCTTGCCTTTGTTTCTGTGCTTTCCTGTCCTCATTTCTGTGTCTTTGCTCCAGTGGTTGGGGCAGTAAATCCATTGTAACAATCAGAAGCTTGTCTGGAAGGACTCTTAATACTGCTTAACTGTGCTACCAAAAGCTGCTTCCTCCAGAGCAATATTTTCCTATCTTCTGCATATTTTTTGGGGGGAGTGCTGAGGAAGATGGAACAGTGAAATGAGGGAGATAACTGATAAATCCCTTCATCCTTTTATTGGGCAAATTGAGAAGCACACCCTATTAAGTAACTTGCTCTCAATGTCCTTGTTTTTCAGTGGCACAGACTGACTCCTTTTACTAGATCATAATGACTTTTTCAATTTTTTATAAGCATTTGTTCTCTTTCAAGATCAATACTTGAATTGAAGAGTTCCTCTGTGTCTATTTCCAAGTGTTGACCCATATTTAATTCATGTTTATGGATTTCTACTCAGAGTCTTGTATTTTTCTTTTTCAGGTAGCATATTATATTGTTGAAAGTGACATAATTTGTGTTTCTAGAAGTGCTGTATTTCTGCTAGAGAATATTTAACATACTACAGAAAAAGTACTGATGTTTTTATGAATTCATAAGGAAAAGTACATTGTAGGAATAGCATTTTAAATGTACACACTCTTGGAAACATCTAAAATGGTATGTAATAGACTTGAACAGAACACATAATCAAAATGCTCTATATTGATATTTTATAATTGAGTTGAGCCTTTTAAAGTGCAGCTTCAAAAAACAGTAAGGTGGTGATATTCATATGAATAAATATGCTCTATACAAGAGAAAGTTTGACATCCCTACCAGGTGTCTGCACCCCATACTCTGTGTTTTAAATTATGAACCCTGTTCTGATTTTTTGGTCTTGAGCTGCTGTGTGCTATTAATACAAAACTATTTCAGCAGCTGGTAATGAGATTACACTTGATGATATTTGAACTCTTTATGTAGATGAGGAAGTCCTGATGAATTATTCAAATATATATTCCTGCAGGGGAGGGGGGAAAGGTCGATTGCCCCTCAGAACAACCCAGGGGGCTGGTGTTGGTGACTTGGGCAGAGCTGCAGGGATGAGCCATGTGTAGAGAGTGGCAGGTGTGTTCAGACTGTGCCTGGAACAGCGAGGCTCTGCAGCGCGCTGAGCGCAGCCTGTTGAACAGAGGTGTCCCCGCTCCGCACGTGCTTCTCCAGGACATCCAGGAGCTGGTGAATGACTCCCAGCTGGAACATCCGCAGGCAGTTGCCATCTGAAGAGAGAGGCAGAACCAACAGAGAGGTAAGGAACACAGTGATAGAAACAAGTGATGTAAATTCAGAATTCAGGGAGTCCTTGCCTTGACTATTTTCATGGCTTGCTGAGATCAAGGCTATAGCTTTTGCACTGTTTTGCAACCTTCAGGTTGTTAGAGAGGTGAGCATCAGCTACCTGTAAACTGATGCTGAGAGAGACTCCAATGGAGCTTAGCTTGAGAGAGCTTTCAAGGGACAGTCACTGTCAAATTCAAAACCAGAGGTTCTCCCAGTCCCTTTTTCTCCCCATCTCAGTGCTGCTGTATTTTCCACTACACATGTAGTAGAATACCAGTGGAATTTTTGATTTCTCACCAGGATAGCTTTAACACTCCTTTAATTTTGCTATTCTACTGATTTAAGACACTTGTGAAACCAGGGATATTACCTAGCAATGGCAAATCTGATTACTTGTTCTGTACTGCTGTTATTCTTTGTTTTCTATGAAATAAATTGTCATTAACTACTCCTTGAAAGAGTTGGAACAAGGTTTTTCTTGCCTCTTGAGAAACCCACTTTCTGAAATGAGAAGCCTATTTGCGTTGCACTCACACGAAGCTCGGAAAATATGAGTTGACCTGGAGAGATCTGGTTTATTAAATCCCAGTGAAAGAGCAGACTTATACATTCCAAAAAATACCACTTTTCCCAGCAGTGCTCTGCAGGGTTTTGACAGTGCATGTCTGGATCTCTCCTGTCTTTGAGAACTCGCTCTGTACAGGTGGCAGCTTTGTTTTCAGAAGCTGCTTAGCTCACCTTGTTAGGAAATGAGAAAGTTCTGCTAAAGAGCAAAAGGAAACTTTCTATGCTACAGATGGCATCCTTTCTGAAGGAAGTGTTTTGAAGGTGCCATTTGCAAAATAATTTTCTGTATTTTGCTTTATGCAGTTCATTATATCTCAAGAGAAGTAGATGCCTGACACACATGAACATCTCCTTATTCCTGTTTTCTTACATTGTGAAAGCTGTTTGTTAAAACTGGCAAAACAGCGTGCACACTAAATAGAAATACATATTCACCTGGAATAAAGAGTTATCCATGGAACTATACAAACCTCATACATGGTCTGGCCAAAAGTAGCTTTAGTACTTATGGTTCTAACTGAATTTACAGATTGAGGTGTACATACTTCTAATTTTTGTATGTATAGCATGTAAAAATGGCCTTAGTAATTTTAACACCTCTGCTGGTCTTGGTGTTATTTCCACCTCAAAGCTATAGACACTCCTGTTGTCTTTTGAGTGAGTGCCTATTATTCTTTTCATCTCCTAACATTTCATTTAGTAGCCTGGATTTCCCCTGTATTCTTACATAAGTTAGATAAGAATTTGTCAAATGCTTGTAAAATGTAATTGGATATTTTCATGAGAGAACTGTCAGTCTGTGAAATAGTTGGAATTTGACTCACACAAAAATCTTTTGATACTATTTTATGCATACATTCTCTAAAGCTAATGGTTCTGCTTGTCATTCTTCAAGTGTTCTCTTGCCTAGTCCTAATCTTTGGAGATCAGAGTATATGAGGAAAATTGTCCAGTCCCCTTTAGGAACAGGTTCCATAAAAATAGGTCACCTCTTTTGGTCTGATAAAATTCTACAGGGAAAATATTTTGATCTTCATATGGACTAACCTTAATTGAACTTAATTTCTCTCCTCCCCCCACCTCTCAAACTGAAGAATGTCAGAGCACTTTTTTTTTCCTCATGTAGTAAAGTGCAAATAGGCAGAGCCCATTAGTGGTTGCCTTGCTTTGATTGTCACAGAGCTCCAAATTGCTTTTCTCTCCTATGGAGTTTTTGCTTGGATAGCAGCAGAACATTCAATTTAATGGCTCATAGTTAAAGTCTGATAGGAACAGCCACTTTTCATAGCTGCAAAAGCTGTCTGTCATCTTTTCAGTGCCTACAAGTCATTTGATGCTGAGAACAGATTTCCATAGGATTTTTTTTCTCTCAGATTAAAAGCTGTGCATACATCAGTGGCACATAGTGCAGCATGAGAGGGATTATTCACTTCTTCCACATGAAACATCTAACGCTGTTGTGGGGGGAGAAGAGGGAGTGACAAAGCAAGCCATTCAGCTGAGTAAATTGAAATAGCCAGTTAAAGGCACCAGGGGCACTTGTGTGGCCTTTGTAGAGCCATAAGGCACAATGGCTGATTCAGAACAAGGTATGAGGCAAGGAAGAAAGGGACTCTAGAAAGGTTGTGAGGTGGAGGTGAAGAGATGTGTGGATGACAGCCTGCTTTAAAAAAATCCCAAAAACCAACATTCAGACAGATGTGAGGGAAATTTCTAGTAATTAAGCGCCTATTAAAACAGGAAGTTGAGCAATTTTGTTAATTGAGTTTGAAGCCAGTACAGTAGCCATCAGTGAGAAGAGACAGGAATGTGCTGGGGATCTTCTGCTGATTGATAGAGCACAGCATGCTTTCCAGGAGTCTGCTCATAAGAATCTCTTTCTCTCTGCAGAGTATAAAGGCTCATTGCTTTCTATAATAGGAATTGAAAGATAGAATGGCTCATCTTTTTCTCCCCCCCTCCATATCTGAGCAACCCCTCACTTCCTGGAAGCAATTTAAAACCTAAATCTGTGGAGTTACTTTGTTTGCTTGTTTGTTTTTTGTTTAGGGGTATTTCTGTGTGTGTTTTTGTGGGTTTTGGGCAATTTCTTTTTTTTTTTTTAGTGTGTGTTTTGCTGTTGGTTTCTTTTTTTAGTTTGTTTTATTTTTTTATTTCTAAAAGATATATTTGCCATTAAGTATTTCTAGAGTCTCCCCTCTAATAAGGTGTAGTTCAGGAAAAAGAAAAGTGCAAAAGGTTGCATACCTGGATCACTCCTTTCTTCAGGATTATGCCCCTCAAATTATTTTGTTATCACTAGCATCTGTAACTTAAAAGCACACAAGTCTCTAGTCTGCAGACAAGTTTCAGAACCAGGGAACAGTGAAATCTGATAGTGTTGGTTTTCTCTGCACTCACAAACATCTTTGAAGGGTAGAGAATAACCAAGCTTACCATTTCTTCTGTAAAATTAGCAATAAGCCTTGCCCCTGTCTTGGTACCTGCAAGTGCCTGGATGTGGTGTAAGTATCTGTTCTAAGAGACGATGCCACAGGCTGTAGCAAAAACCTTCTGCATGTATTTATTTGTGTTGTGAGAAACAGAGAATATCTCATATCTGGTTATAACTAGCCCCAAACAGAACTGTTCTGTCAGTCAGTGATGACTTCGTTGTTAAGGGTAATAATTAAAGACCTTTGTGTTGATTGCTTTGGGGTTGAGAGTGGTGAGATGCAGTATAAATGGCCAGTTGTTGACAGTTTATTTTTTAATCTGTAATACCCAAAATACAGCATAGCAGTAATATAATCCAGGCTGCTGTTAGGCACAAGCACTGGGCTATAGGCTATAGAAATGAAAAAGAATTCCTTCAATGATGATAAAAGAGATTGTGGATGGGTCCCTGATAAGTAAAAGAAACCAACAGAGATGGCAACTCCTCTGCTAAAGAGACTTCTGGATGTTGATTCTTTATGTACCTGGCCTGTAATATTTCCTTTTTTACCTCCAAGAAGCAGAGAGACAATGAGATCCGATGCAGCCTTCACAATGCATGTATCTTCAGCTTGTGAACTGCCTTGGAGCCTCAGCAGGATCTCAGACAGCACCTCTGGCACACCTGCATCCACCAACTGCACCTTCAGAGCATCTGTAGAGATGACAGGAAAAGCACATTAAAAGTGTCTTGGCTCTTTGTGGAAGCATTTCAAAGTACAAAGCTAAATCCTTGAACTTTAGCCAGTTGTTTTTCAGGTGCAGTCACTGTTCTGGTTTTGTTTGTAACAGCTATCTGGAGCTAGGATGGCACCAAGGCAGAATGAGCAAAGCTTTCTGCATTGCTCTTTGACATTTCTGGTGTTGCCAGTCATGAGCTTTCACGTCTTTAAAATCTGTGTCAGATATCTAGATATTTTTAGTGGGGCAGTGTTTGTTGCACTGCTGCTAAGAGCACAGAATATTCTGTGCATCTTCACAGATTCACAGAATATTCTGAGCTGGAAGGGATCCTCAATCTGCAGTGAGCCCAGCTCTTAAGTAAATGGCCCAAATTGGGATTTAACTGATTTTTCTGATTTTTTTTTTTTTTTACCCAGTTTTTCTGATTTTTAAAATTAAAAAAAGGATCTGTGTTTCTGCTTTCCTCCTACCCACTGTGGAGAATAAGTTTGAATCTGCTGTCTTTTGGATCTACTGAAATGCAGTGGAATGGTGCTCTCTCCCTCCTTTCTTTGTTATCTCACCTGTCCAGGTGTTATTTGGGCCAGGATCTCATGTGTTCTTGGGGCTTATTTCTCCTGAAAGGGTTGCTGGTTCTGTTAGCAGGGTCCCGTGGCAAACTTGGAACCCAGAGCTTAAACCACTACAATACCCAGTCCCACCCAGACCAAAGGGAGCCTTACCATTTTCTGCAAGTGCCTGCAGGACCTCAAAGACCATTTCTAACCTCTCATGGCTCTCTGCTCTCCTCAGTTGTTCCACCAGCTGTTCAGCAACTTTTGTCATGCTTAGAGCTTCCTTGGCTGAATCTGTGTGTGTGATAAAGTCAGGATTTTGAATTTTTTTTTTTTATTTTATTAAATGTTTAAAGATACCTCTCTATGATCTGAAGTAATTAAACACTGTTTTTGAAGGCTTTCTGTTCTTGTAGAATCTTCTGTTTCTTTGGACAGCACTGAGACAGCAGAACTCTATCCCTTCTCCCCCCAAGTTATGTTTTTCTGTAATTTCTGTAGATCTCATAGGTGTCAAATTAATCCTGGTTTCATTTCACTGACTTGTACAAGTCCGTCTGTAGTATGATTATTTAATGTAACAATTGGTACATGTTATTTTGCTGTGTAGTATATTTTTGGCCTTGCTTAGGTGCTTCTAGTCTTGCTGGGATCTTAAACATCTGCAAGATGTATGTTGGCAAAGCTTGACAGTGTTTCACAGAATACATTTCAGTTGAGTATGGTATAAAACAACAATATAATAATACAATATAATAATATAATAGATATAATAAGGAGAATAACGTGACAGTGTGATATCATGTCCCCTGTCCTGCATCTCGCCCTAAATGCTTGAAGCAGTAGATCAAATTTTAGCCAAACCATATATAGAGAGTGGTAATAATTTTGTATTTGGTCTTTTTCTTCCATTACTACTCACAACTTGTGTAAAGTAGGTAAAAAACATTTTAAATTAGTGAAGATGCTTTTGCTTTGAAATTTGTGTAAATTGAAATGGAAGCTGTTTCAGTAAGGTATAGAAACTTAATAATTAAGTAAAAATTAAATTTTAATAAACAAGCTTTTAATGTACCAAATCTGAAGTAGATGAAACTGTCTATTTATCATATGAAGTTATGTTTTCTCTTTATTTGGAGTCAAAATCTGACTGTTAAAACTTAATTGTTTTAATGTAGTGTAAGTGACAGCTGGTATTCCATAAAAGAGTAGTTATTTCTCCAGTCCAGACACTGTGGCCAGTTCTTTATTAGATATCAGTAATGTTTTAAAAACATTAGCCCAAACACCACCCCACCCCAAAAACAAAGGACAAAGCAAGGAAAGCCCACAAACCTCTGGGCATGGAAAGGCAGTGACAGTGTGGAGATGATATTTTGCTGTAAGATGCAAAAACTTTAAAAAAACTTACCAAGGTCTGCCAGGTTGTACAAGGCCAATAGAGCAACGTGGACAAGTGGTTCACTCTCTGCATAGTCAGTTAATATCCGGACCAGTGATGGGATTACTCCAACCCTCACCAGCTCTTCCTGAAGGCCACCTGGTCAGCAAAGCAGAGCTGTTAAAGGTGGTTAAATCAGGAACTAATTGAATCAGTGGAAAGGGTCCAGCTGAGATGCTTATAGCATCAAGATAGTCTGGTTCTTTCTCACACTATTAGAATTTGTAGAGCTTTTAGTGTGGTGGTTTCAGGCTAATGTGTGTGTGGAGGAAATGCGAGTTTGGAGCAGATTTTTCCTAAATCTGGTTCAGCTTTGACTTAAGGTATTAAGCCACTGTGTCCAACCACATGTGCTTGCTGAGGAAACTGATAACTGTTTTCTTGTTTTTTGTGGTTTGTTTTGTAATGAATGAAAGCTTAATAGCTGAAATGATTTAGAGGATGCCAAGAACTGTAAGATACAAAGTTGTACCATGATGGTTGCTTGAGAGTACAATGGCACTTGCTCTTGCAGCAGTGTCTTGCTGGGAGCTGGACTGCTGCTCGGGTGACAGGGTGCATGGCAGACACCAGGAAGGGTCTGGTGCTATTGTAGAACAGGCAATTGGAATTCAGACAGGGAATTGGAGAAGTTAATTTTTCTTTTTGATGCATTTATGGCTGTGTTAGTAATAGGATTTATTAAAGCATGCCACCATCATCTTGGCAAAGCTGTGCTGGGGCTGTGCTCTGCCAGGAGGGAAGCAGATGTGCAGGAGGGCCATATGCTGCAGAAATGTTGTGTACAGGAGCTGCATGAGCTGGGAATGTAATTGTAGGGAAAAGCTTTTTTAAACTGCTGTGTCATTCCCTGGCGAATACAGGCAACTCACAGGGAGCTTGGTGGAATCTATACCAGGTACCTATAATGCCTGGATTTCATAAGAACACTGAAGGAGGCAAAACCACAACTTTGTAAGTAAAGTTGTGCAGATCCACACTAGAAGGATTACAGAAGGTAGATTGGAGGCAGAGGGTAATGGATACAAGATACTGGGTGAAAATTTCCATATTACTTTCAGTATACAGTAAATATTTTGGTCGGTCTGGGAGTTAAAGACAAAAAAAAAATCTTTAACTCTTCTGGGCAAGTAAATGAAAATTGTTTTAACTTTTGAGACCAGCAAGCAAGTTGGTGACCAGGCAATTTGGAGCACAAAAATCTCCTGCATGCAAGCAGTGGTCCTCAGAGGAAGACCATTCCTTGCATAGATAAATGTCTCATGTTTTTCTGGGTTTTTTTTTTTTTAATTTCTATTTTTTTCTAACTCACTTTTTAAACAAGTGCCTTGCTTTATAGATGTCCTTATTATTATGGAAGAAGTCCAAGCCATTCAGGATTTAGACCCAAGGCAAGTCTGCAAAATTGGTTAAGACATGTGTGAGGCTCTGCTCTTGTAATTTGAAAGCAGTTGTGACAGAGGTGTGCCACCTTGAAGTCAAAAATGTAGGGGAGAAACCCAGAGTTCAGGCAGTGTTTGGGGTGCATTCAGCCAGGTGACTGAGCTCTGTGAATTGTACACCTAACTGGAGGCTGAAGTGCACGATGTGCTCAGGTCTCATAAAGTTATTTTGAGTTACAGGTTACAATGCCTTTTAAAAGAGTGCCTTAGAGGCAGGGACAAGCAGATTCTCTTCAGTGGATACCTACGATTGTCGTAGCAGATACGGCCAATGGCCCTCCCAGCGTGAAGCAGCATTTCTTGGTCTGTGCTCTCCAGCAAAGGTATCAGTGTTGGAACCAAATCTGCTTCAATACATGGTGTCTTCATTTCCTCTGCGTAGATAAAAGAGAGGGAATTCCAGGCTTTTGCCATTTAGGAATAAAACAACTGCAATAGCAGTAGCTGGTAGCCGTGAAACAAAATCCAAGAGTGAAAACATGAAGCTAATGTGCTGTAAAATGCCTTGTAGTAATATTGGAGCACAACTTACCATTTTTGGCTATCTCTGAAAGCACGTGGGCTGCTCTCACTGCACATGGTGGATTGCCCTTCAGGATTTTTGCCAAAGTTGGGAAGATCCCACTCCCTCTGAGTAGGTGGAAGGATCTCTGCTCTGCAATGATAAGGGCGTTAGCAACAGCTGCCGTAGGTTTGCAGCTGCTTTATTCACGTGCTCCTTTGTTTCCCAGGGTTCTGAGTGGGTATCTGTGGGATCCAAGCTTCTCTGGTTTAACAGGGTTCTTAAAGGCTGTCTGAGTCTGAATATATGGGCACAGTCATCTGCTTGAATTGCAGCATGTGTGGTTCCAGCTGATTACTCTGCTTTATGCTGAACTGAAGCAGGGGTGGCAAAGCAAAGAGGAAAACAGTTTCATCTTCTCTGACTATAAAAGGATGCCTGCATAAGGCAGGGGAAGTCAGGGATTAAGATGCTATTCCTGAGGTATGGCCTAGCAATTAATTCTGTAGGTAGGCACAGCATCTTTTATTAGACTGGCAATTAGAGCAGACAATTCCCTTAGCCTTTTTCCATCAAAAATACGGCCAGCTGTCCTGAAGGCAGTAAATCACCATCTGCCAGGAGACTCAAATAAATGCAGGTTTATGTCATTTTAGGAGAATGTGTGAAGGCTTTAGGGACTTTTGAATAAGTAGATTAGAAACTACTTTTAAAATGTCTGACCTGATGGGGTCACCCTAAATTAATCCTAGGAGTTTGTAGTAAATAGAATATTAAACCTGGAATTTCTCTGGAGCTTTTGGTATTTTAGTAACTTTATCTGGTCACAGGTAATTTTGTGAGTTTCATACAGAGAGAAAAGAAAGCAACACAGCCTGAAAACAACTGTAATTCCAGCAGCAATCACTTTTTGAAATACAGATTATCAGTAAGCAAAATCTGCCACGAATTCTTTTGAATTGTGCAAATGGTTAATTGGTAATCCAGAGTGATACTTAACTATCTTCAGTGATAGCCAGGAGAATCCCATTCAAACTCTCAAGGATCTGATCTTCAGCTTCTGTATCATCTCCACAAAGCCCAAGGTATTCCAGGTGCTTGCTCAGGGTTTCTAAACAGAATGGGATAGAAAACTTTGGTGAGCCAGCATGGAAAATGTTGAGTTCCTTGTGGTAGCTCTTTTCAGTGCTGATATCTTATTATAAAATAATTTCCTGAAGGGTCATGATCTAAATATGCTCATTTATTCCAAGAACATGAGGTCAAAGGCTTGGTCACTTCTCAGCACATAGCTCTTGTGCAGGCATAAACATGCAGGGATGAATTCTATCTGGAAACAGAAATTAACATATAATAATTGTGCCAGAGTTTGAGGTGGGGAGGAGAGAGGAATAATTACAGGGCCCAAATCAAGCCTGTCATTTCTAAATACCTGTCTGTGATAAAGACAGTACTTGCAGCTTAACAACTGAGTATCTACCGTGGCAGTGGCCAGGAGCAGGCCCTGAAAGAAGAGATGAGGTAAAACACTTCTTCCTTTGTTTCTGGCAACTTTGGCCTTTAGAAACATACCTAGTATTTACATCAATATATATCTAATACACGTTGATCAACTTTTATTTGGAATTTTTTTACCCATATAAGTTAATTTAGAATTTTTATCTCCGCATCACACGGTAACATTTAGTTCCACAGTTTCACTGTTGTAAGAGGAAAATGCTTCCCAATCTTTTAAAATAATTACCAAAAAGGTCAAATTTGATGGCCTTTGAGTTGCTGTAGTACGAGAAAGGAATTATCCTTCACTATTTCCTCTTCCATGTCTGTCATGATCAGGTGAATTTTCATTATAGTCCTCCTTTGTTATTCCTCTGCCAGTTTGCTTAGTATTACAGAAACGGTGATAACTTGCCTGAATATTTTTCTGGCTCACTTTCATTCTTTGTGAAGATCTAGAATTTGAAAGTCTTCTCAAGACTCAGGTGGACAGGGATTCAGACAGAGATTGTCATGTTTTGTTTTCTACTCTGGTAATTCTTTGTCTATTTGAGAATGGCTTTTGTGCAGTTAATCAAAATGATCTCTTCCAGGCTGCAGGAGTTAAATCAAACCCCACCATCATTTATATTTTGGCCATCTTTTCCCCATGTAGGTTGTTCAGCATTTGCAGACAAGTGAGCTTGATGTGCCTCTTTATCCCAAGTCACACAGGATGATACAATTTTCCTGCAGTTCTCTAAAGTCAATTTTGAATACTCCAAATAATAAAAAAACTCCTTACCATTCTGCTATTTCTAGGTCATTTATGAATATATTGAATTACACAGGTTCCAGCAAAGGTAACCTCTAATAATTTTGTTTCTATTGTAAAAGCAGCCTTTATTCAGCTCGTCAGGATTCATCAGATAATCATCTCTCATATCCAAAGACAACTTAGACAAAGGTTATTGAAAGGTTTGTAGAAATTGAAATGCATTAACAGTATCTCCTTTATTTACCTTCTTACCAGCTCCTTAAAAATGTGTTTAGAGACAGGCTGAGCATTACTTACCTCCACAGAAGTCAAAGAGACTATCCTTTTTCATCATGTCTGTGTTTAGTATCTCTGTGCTTTACTATAATCCTACAATTTACCTGTGCAGACTTCTGCACTTTAATTTCCCACATTCCTTGCAGCTATTTCTGTAAACTCATCCCACTCTTACTGCCTCCAACTTTATTAATGCTGTTGTTGATCTCAGTGATATTCTGTGTCTCACAGTTAATGATTTGATGAATCATCTTTTATAAAGATCTTATAAACTCTGTGGTATAGCATCCAATTCTGACAGGGGGTTACCACTTATTTTATTGATTTGTTCAAAATCTTCTGTCCTTTCAATATGAGGATCCCTCCATCTACTTTCCAAAAACAAAAAGACCTAAAGTGGCTGAAGTTAATGTAAGAAATATTGCTGGAAAACTGATGTCTGAAGTAGTTAATATTTAGTAGGATATAATGCAGGATGTTTCCAAAACTGTAGTAAAATAGCATTTCTGCTTTCCAAACGGTTTCACTGAAAATGCTGACTTATGGGTCATGCCTCAGAAATTATTTGATGAGCATTAATAATTGATCACTTATCTTTGTTTGGTGGACTAACTGTATTCTCTGTCCCCAATGTATCCATTAATTAATATGAGACTTTTTAAAAATGAAAATGCATTAATTTAGTGCATACACGAATTTACCTCTGAGGAACAGAAGTGTCCTGAGCAGTTTTGGAAAGAGGGTGAGTAAAGGGAGTTGAAGTTGAACATAATTAAAAGCTGCCTATTGAGAAGAAAAATGATTTGGCTTAAAAAAATTAAAAGCAGTTATTTAAAAATAGTTTTGCTTTTGTGCTTTTAAGAAACTAGTATCTCTAGAAAAATGGCTGGGTTCATCAGGTCCAGTTCTCCTGCCAAAATCTGCTGAATAAATAATTTTGTGTAAATGAAGTACAGTAGAATGCAGCTTCTTTTATACAAAAAGCAGAAAATAAACTAGCTGAGCACCTGACAGTTGAATCAGGTTTGATCTTAAACAAAGTCCTAGTGGGAGTGGACAGAAGGCTACAACTGCTGATTGAGCAACCTGAAATAAATTAGGAGCCTGTGAGATTGAATTATCTACTGAACTCTGCTTTCATCTTATCAAGATCCAAAATGTGTTGGCATTTGACTTCTAGTACTGTGTGTTCTCTAACTAGAGCAACAGTGATGTTTGCAAATATATTTCTAATATGTTTCTAATTAGGTTCTATAAAGCTATGGAAAGAAAACTGGATTTCTTAAAATGGAGGAGGTTGTTTTACAAATGACAGGGGATATGTACTGGTGACTGGTTGGGTCAGTACAGTGATAACTAGAAATCCAGATGCTTTGTCATTTCTCCAGGGAATAGATCAGTAGAATAACACCATATGCATGATGACAAAGTCCTTGTAAAACACCCTTCTGGTTGTAGTATTTTGAAATGAGAAGTATGAGCAGTAGCTGACTGAAGAGTTACTCAATAAAAGCCTCACAGAAAGCAGCATTTAGCTAAAACAGAAAAGGGTTCAGCATTTTAACACTAAGGGACTCAGAATTTTATCCTGCTTGTTATTCATAAAATCTTGATTAACTTAACCAGCTTGGGACTGATTCCTCAGTACTCCTTGTGTTTAAGTCCATGCTTCTGCAGGGACAGTGAAGCTGACACTTAATACAGTTATTTATGGCAGTGAAAAAGCAGTACAGCTTATGCAGATTGTGACTAAAGCAGACCAGAAAAGTGTGTTTATTTCTCTTTTGTGGAAAATTCTGGGGTGTTGACATTTGTTTCATCCCGTGCTGGACTAGACTGTTGACACGGTGGAACTGGAGGCAAAGCAGAAGGATTTGTTCAGGCTTTTTGCAGAAGTGGTTCTTTGCCAGCCAGGGGCTGGAAGGGTGCCAGCCAGGCCAGCCAGCTGGTCAGCCAGCAGGGAGTGCCTGCCTGCCTGGCCTCTGAGCAGCCTTTCAGCAGAATAAACATCTTCCAAAGGAATACTGCTCCTTCTCTTGAATCAGCGTTTTTTTGCTAGACCATTGCTCTCCAGCTTTAGTAATTCACCGTAGAAGAGAGGGAAATGGGCACTCATTGCCTGCAGGGCCTGAGTTTAGAAATCTCTTGAGGCTGAGGTACAAAAGGCTTTTTTCCTGAGCTGAAGGCATAGATTATTAATTCACACCTAGATCTGTACATGATACTGAGTAAGGCATAGGAACTGGACTTTTGCCGTGGGAGTTGGTTTTTGATCATCCTGATGAGAGCAGAAACAACAGTGCAGAAAATGTGCTGTAGCACAGCAATTTCAGCTGGCTTCTGCTGTGGGGAAAGAGCCACGAGGAGTGAGCTCTTTGGAACCCTTGAATCACTGCTGTGTCAATTCTCAGTGCTACTTTTGACCTATAAAGTCCTCAGGGAGCGAGAGAATCCCACACATCTCCCTCTTTCAGCAACTGATTTTGCCCCCTTCTAAAACAGCAATGACTTCTGATCTTTTTCCTTTTTATAGCTGCTCACATGTGTGGAAACTATTTTCTCTTTTTTTTCTAGAGGAACTGTGGACTCTGTCCTTCAATATGAATGCTACTCTTGATATTGCTTATTGTTGTTTGGGTCCTGAGCAGCGTGAGGTCTGTATGAGCCAAGTTGAGGGCTTGAAACAACTTAATCCAGTCAAATGCCTTGTATTTTGCTGCCTCTTCCTCCAGTAATTTCACATACTGAACTTGTTCTTCTGTCACTTTTCTTTAATATACTTTAGAAGGGTCTTCCATGGATAATTATCACCATCATGATTATTCAAAGCAGAAAAACAAGGTAATGTGTTTTTCCAGAGTATAAAGGTGTGGTAGCTGCTCATAATGGAGGTCTATTTAGCTCTGTCTAATGTCTCTGGTAACAGACAATTAAAGAACAGTAAAAGAAGACACTATACAGACTTCCCCAGGTATGCTTTCTTAACTTCTAGTAATCAACTCCACAGGGATTTTCTTTGGTGGAAGTTTCATCTTGTTTAATTGCACTTAAATGCATTGAAGAATTTATTTGAATTTGTTTGTAATTTAGCTCGTAGAACATGGAGATAAGTGCCACAAAATAAGTTTGGACTGAGAAAAAATAACTCAATCTTGTTTTTTCTTGTTGAAATTGTCATCTGGCCTTCTCTTGACTGTAGTATTCTATAAATGTATTGTATCAGCAGGACAGGAAACACAAGTCTCTATTTTGACATATCCTGTGTAACAGCTGAGGGATGAGGGTTAGGGTTGAAAAACTCCTAGTGTTCTGCAGGTCAGGAGTAGCTGAAAAGCATCAGATGCAGCCTGAAGAAACTAAAATTCCAACTCATAATACTGCAAAATAGCTGTTGTGTCTGTCTAGCAATGTAACTAAGAAGAAAGCAAAAAGAAAAGGTGACCTGCATTCATGTTAGTGTGGCAGCCTGCAAAATCATGGACCTGTAAGCCTTCATTCTCTCACAGCATTTTTTAATGCTCTTCCCTAAAACAGATAAAACAATTCCTGGTTTGTTGGGGCATGTCCTAAATAAACCTAT